TCCCACTCCACTGTCCATTTATAAGAGATACATGGATTATAAAAAGAAAATTAATAGGAAGCTAGAATGTATCATAATTTCTGATTAATATGTTTGGTTACAGGAATATGAATCCTACTATTATGTTAAGTTTAACAAGCAACCAAAAATCATCAAGAAATCACTCAGCTCTGGTAAATGGACACTAGCTGTTCTAGTTCTAAAAACTTCCATACCTCCATGGAGAATGTCAGAATTTCCCTTTATTCCTAGAATAAGAATAAATAATAGGCTAATTACACCCCTCTTACACCAAATCCACCCCACCCCACCCCCAGTCATCCCCATCTCTTACAACCAATCCTCCCCACCCTACCCCCAGTCATCCCCATCTCTTATACCCAATCTTCCCCACCCCACCCCCAGTCATCACCATCACTTACACCCAATCCTCCCCACCCCATCCCCAGTCATCCCCAGTCGTCTCCATCTCTTATACCCAATCCTCTCCATCCTACCCCCAGTCATCCCCATCTCTTACACACAATTATTGTTCTTCACTATAACTTACCTCTTTGCACCCTGTTATGCATAAGGATATCCTTTTCAAGAAATTTTATCACTAGTATTTATACTTATATATATTTTAATTTTTTTCTAGCAGATTCAAATAAATGTTTGCCTCCAAAACTGAAAAGTTTAACAAAAAGGTATAAATTTCAAAATGTTTAGTTTACGAAGGGCCTTTTATTATATTTATTTTTTATGACTTTTTTATGTCATTGAACATGATGGATATGCTAGTATCCTAATAGTTCTCTTTGATTTTTAACCATAGTTCAAGGAATAATTCAGTGTCCTTGCCAAGCATCAGTAACACTAACGGAGAAAGTACACCACAGTCAGCAGGATCAGCATCAAAACGACCAAGCAGTGATGGAAAAAGAAAACCTAAACTAATAAAACAGGTCAACATGCTTGTCTTTTCTTCTTTTTTTATTTTTTATTTATTTTTGTCTGCTGTACTGTTTGTAATTAGTCGTTTAGGCACAATGTGTGAATTTTCCTTGGTGACCAAATCAATAAAAAAAAATGTCCTATGTGCTTTTTTGCACCGCTGTAAAATGATAATCAAATATAAGTAAACTCTTTACCACTGTTTTCATTGCCATGTTCTGATCGAGACAACAGTTGCGACATGGAAATTAGGATTTACACTACCATCAATCAAATAACCATAGGAGTAATTTTCCATGTACCTTCTCATGGTCCCTATTTGTTTATATGTACTCTAACGATTTATTTGATTGACAGCAATGTATTGCCCAATTTCCAAGTCACAAACGTTGTTTCGATCAGAGTGTAGCAAGAAAAGAGGGTAATATGCAATGCTGTAATAAATTATAAGTTTTGGGTCAAACATTAGGCTAGAATGCCAAGATAAACACTTTTGTGTTTAAGATGCTATTAGACTTCTGACACACTGCAGTGTTTTTTCTTGTTTATTATCTGACAGTGACTGTATTCAAAATTATAGAATTCTTCATCAGCTGTAAACTCACCTCCAGAAGTCACTCCACAAAGTTCATCAACCAGCTTGAATTTATCTGGAACATCAATAACTACACAAGGCAAAAATGCATTACCTAGCAACCAGGGCAACCAGCATGGAAAGGTCAGTGACAATAAATGCAGTTGGGGTGCCTGTGGTGACACAGGAATCGACACAGGAATCCCATCCCACTTATTTGAATGTCATCATTGCCTCTTCCTCTTTAAATTTGCTTTCTTTTTAATACAGCAAGTGATAGTGGATATGAGAGCCATGCTCAATAATGCTATTAAAGGGGATTACATGACTGCCGATAATGATCCTTCTGTAAGTAACTTATAAGAACTTGTGCTCTCCATAAAGAAAATACCCACACGTCCCCAACACAGGATATCTAGGATTTTCAAGTGGAAGGGAGGAGACGTGGAGGGTGTATTCTCTGTTTAGAGTTCTGGGGATAGAGATAAGAGGTACTCTAAACACCAGGATTGTTAGGGGATAGTCCCTACAGTAGGTGTGCTTGAGTTACATACTATCGGGAGGACTGATGGTGACATACTGTACTTAACCTATTCCTCTCTGGTACATGATGTCACTGCCCTCTACTCCCATCCTACGGTTCAACGTCCATAATAACTATGGTATCAAAATGTTAATAACTTCATCTTTTCCTTAAATGTACTGAACTAAGACCCATGGTTAGGGTCTATAATTAATATTTTATTATTTATATTTCAATAGAATCGCTTGTTGAAACCTGTTGGAGGATTTGCAGGGTTGACAGGTGAATGGAGAGACCTTGCTTCTGTTATTAGCCGGGATATCTATCTCCATGATCCTGATGTGCGATGGGATGATATTATTGGGCTTGACGCTGCTAAGAGATTGGTCAAAGAGGCTGTAGTTTATCCTATCAAGGTATAAAATGGAAGGATGGTATTATGGAACTTACTGAAAAATAGTTGAACTAGAGTTTGAATAACCAGAAGATTTCATAATTTTTTTCACTTATTGCACAAAATTCTGGATCATTCTGGAATGGATTTTGATGTATTCCTGAACCAGTATACTGTTTTCTATTTCAGTATCCACAGTTATTTAGTGGTATATTGTCACCATGGAAAGGTCTTTTGCTCTATGGTCCACCAGGTAATTTATTCACCTCTCTCATCGATGCTTATACTCAACATCAAAGTAGATATTTTATGGCTGTATGATAATCACCATTCTCTAGGTACTGGCAAGACCCTGCTAGCTAAAGCAGTAGCTACAGAATGCAACACGACTTTCTTCAACATATCGGCTTCTTCAATTGTCAGTAAATGGAGAGGAGATTCAGAGAAACTTGTTAGAGTGAGTAAATACAATAATATGCATCAGAAATTCCTCTCTCTGTCCATCCTGTCCTTCCTTCCTTCCTTCCTTCCTTCCTTCCTTCCTT